CCGATCATACAATAGATACACAAATGTAGTCTTACAACAATATCTGTAGAGTGTTATTTTGTTTAATCTATTACTTACAAAAATAATTTACTAAAAAATTATATACATAAATTGTGCTTTACAGTAATAATTGGTAGAAGCCTCTTATCATACAACAGTATTTAATATTCTATATTTTTGACTCGTAAAAGATGACTCGCTTTTGAATCATAATTAATTTATCCCTAGGAAATGAGCGAGTCATCCTTAACAGCAATCATGTCAGTAACAAAAGATATAAAAACTTTGTATGTTAATTGGCATTCAGTTCCAGCTGTATGCAATTACAAATTTTCTTTTCTTATTCTAATTTAAATAACTAATTTTATCATTTCCTTGAGTATTTATCACAATATGTAATTATACATATAGTTTCGATTTATTACGAAACAACTTACAGGGCTTAATAAATTCCTGTCTATTCCATAAATATGTGATGACATAACTTAAGAAAACTGGCAATAATTTGATCAAAACATATACAGTAAATTATCTCCATTTGTTCCTCAGCTTATAAACTAAAATGGACAATTTGGGAAGAGGAGATATAATTATTTGAACCTTTGGGTTCATTTTTATAGTTGTTGACTATCGGAAACTATAAAAACGAGCCCGCGAGACTCGAATAATCGAGTTTTCTCTTCCCAAATTGTTTCTTGTTCCAATTCTCTTCCCATTTTTGTATACAAACTGAGGGACAATAGAACAGAATTTATGTCTTTTGACGCACTTCGTTCTCTATATGTTAATCATTAAATAATTATTCTGTGTAGAACTAGACCAGAAACAAACTCCCTTTTCACAATATTTACAATGTTTTTACAGTCAGTCTATTTTTTAAGAGATCTACTACCACTTGCTTTGCAAGTATTCAATAACGACAAACTTTCTCTAACAAAATTTATTAATAGTAAAATACGGTGTATGCTGCGCTAAAAATACTTCACATTAACTTACGTATCTTATATTTATCAGCGTGTAACCCAGGTCATAAGTTTATTTTGTCTTATAAAATTGTGCATGTAAACCTTTGATCTTTTCAAGTACCTTAATTTATCAAAGTTTATAAAAAAAAGTATTAACGTTGAATAGCAGTAGTAGCTATTACTAAAAAGTGATAACATTTAACTGTGAAAGTAGATGAATATTTCGTAACGTTAGAAAAGATAGGCCTACACAACATGTATACAGCCTTCATCTGCATAATCACGAAAAAAATTATTTGTCGTGTATACTCAATGTATTTGACCCTCCTAGAATATCATCCTCTAAAGATATATCTGATAAATCCTCCATGCTCTGCTCATTCCCATCAGTGTATAAAGACTCGGCGGTAAGAACTGAAATACAATTTTCGGAGTTACAGTAAATTCTTCCCAATTGCCCTTTAGCTTGTAAACAAAAATGAACAATTTGGAAAAAGAAGATACGATGATTCGTGTCTCGCGGCTCATTTTCATAGTTGTTGACAATTGACAACTATAAAAATGAGTTGCAAGGATCGAATAATCCTATCTTCTCTTCCTAAATTGTCCATTTTTGTTTGCAAGTTGAGGGACAATTGAAGAGAATTTATTGTATTTGTATTAGTTGCAATAATATTAACAAAATTCAAATAAATCAACTGTCTATCGTTATAACTATTTACATATTTTTAATAATTAATAATAATAAAATAATATTTTCGAATATATTACCATCGTTAAGCGTATGTTGAGAAAACCACGTGGGATCATCCCATTCATCAAACTGCAATTTTTTATTGTTCTCAACTTCATCTACAGACAGCATTGTATGCGATTCCGAGTCTGTTACATCGTATATTTCTGTTACTTGCACTTTATTGTTATCATCCATGTAATAATATGTCATAACAGCTTCTTGTTCCGTAGTTACCTGTTAATTTTTATAATAAAAATTATGTTCAGGATTCAGTATTAATATTAAAAATACCTAGTCGTTATTATTATATACCTGTAAAATATCTTCTAAGGTATCATCAACTGGTGAAAGTTCGGACATATTTATGACACACTTTGATGTAGTCGTGTGGTGATCCTTCCATGGTTGCCTAGAAAATCACAAACAATTTATAATATTTAAAAGTTTAAACAAATACAGCTATTAAAATGTTTAACTTACATTTCATTGTACTGCAAAGTTAGATTTAGATGCTTTTGATTGTTGTATATACTATCAGCCTCATCCAGTGCTCCCTTACTGTAAATATCTGTAACATTTTAAGTTCAGTTACATTAAATTATTTAAACTAATTTTTGTTAATCTTATATATATAAATAATTGAACTTACTTGATCCATATTCTATAAAAGCTAAATGACACTTAATAGTCTGTGGCATTCGTTGATAATATATGTTAATTTTTGGGAATAGCATACTCAACTGTTCCAGGAAAAATGTTCTCAGTTCTAACAAATTTTTTCGTAATTTTGGAACACTTAAAATGAATCTGAAAATGATCTATGCTTGTCTTAACAAATTTTTTAATAATTTTAATTTTTTAATTTTAGATATGGACAAGCATGTATATTAGCTACAGTTCATAAGCATAAAAACATGCGCATGAATACAGAAATGTAAATATGGATTTTCCGTATATATGACAAAAATTATTAGCAGCAAGTTGCGAACACAAATTAAAATATTTTGTACAAACTCAATGAGTACAAAGCGTCAGCTTACCGAGAAGGTTTGCTATGTATAGTACAAGAAATCATCGGTGGTGGTGTAAGAAGAACATTTCCAACTACTTTGTATTCCAAGGTGCGAGTATCTATCTTGTTACCAATCAAACTACGACCACATGCATGATGTTATTTACAATGCAATAAAAAAAATGATAATTAAAGTATATATGTTATGAGACCTCTGTATTCAAATAAAAACACGCTGATTGGTTAAAAGTAATAAACATGCTGTTAGTTTTTAATTTGAGTGTTCAAGCAAGATGTTAACTTAATTGTATGCAACTCTAAGTAAGCAATGTTACATGTTTGTTAGTTGGTTATATACATGAAATATATGTGAAAACACATTAGATAATTCTAGGTACTAATAAACAAATTCAAGAAATGCTTACTTGGTCAAAGTTGCATACACAACGTCTGCAGGCAAAGTGTATGGCAAACTAAGTAACGATAAGAGTTTTACACTTCGCTGATTGAACAACCAGTTAATAAAGCCTTTATTAGCGGAATCGATTGCATCTTGAAATATGGTCATAACTGTTTCAGGTAACTTAGATACTAATGCTTCCTGGAATGCACATACACGTAATTAATTATTTTGCTTAAACCATAATTACGTAATATGTAAAATTTGTTGTCTACCAAATTTAAGAAATACCTATACCTGTCTATGCATTTTACATTCCGCACACTCAGGATCATATTCTATGTTATCATCGAGAGTTTCAGAGACTACATATGTAGACTGAACAGCCAGACATCGAGTGCAATTAAGTAAATTATTACGATGTAAAAATGTTAATGCATCATCAAATCCTTGCTTGCACATATTTGATAGACTCTGCAAAAGAAATACGTAATTTGCAATAATATAGAAACTTGAGCTATCTTTGACTTACAAACAGTGTAGGAGTAATTACCTCTGGATTAGGTGGAAAAAGTATTCTTGCAAACCTGTATATGTTTTGTTTTGAAAGTTCTATACTAGTATTTGCAAAATTGACCTAAAAATTAATTCATTAATTCATGAGATTAGATTTAAATGAAATAAATAAGTGTCTTACATGAAATAGTTGGGAAGACACATCTCTAGGACAGATATCGCTTTCACCACAAAAAGGGCTAACAGTAATTGTATTTTCATCAAGTGTAGGGAGATTGTCACTGAAACCACCATCTATGTATCTAATCCCATGAAATCGTGGTGGAAAGAGACCAGAGAAAAATGGAATAAATGTACTTGCCATCAATGCCTATAAAAATTGTTATTAATAAATATGCAATTCGATTACAAACGTTAATGACTTCTCATTTGTGAACTATATTGATGAAATATTAAACTAGGTAATTTACTTGCCTGCAATAAATCTTCCCTAGAAGAGAATCTTGACACAATTACATTTTTTCCATCGTATACTCTCGTCAAGGAGACGTGAAGTTTACCGCTCACTCGAATGTGAGCGTCGTCGGGAAGGAACTATAACAGAAGTGAAAATTAAATGCAATTAGGATGTAAATTAGTAGTATGTTAATGAAGTAACACATTTTGTTCATGAGATCTTCGTTCTTATTTACAATATTTTTTAATAGCAAATTGTTGTTACTATATCAGTCATTATTTTTGTATATAGTAGAGAATTAACATGTTACCTCTTTTATCTCACATTGTCTGTAACAAAATCGGAGTATTCAAATTATTGTTTTGATTCGCAAAAAAATCATACAAACCTTTTGCAAACTTTCTAACAATATTGCTTGTACATTAAAGGATGGACTAAACGGACCAAGAGTGCTTTGTCGTGCTTCGCGCGCTACTCGCAGGACGTTACTCGTAATCTCCCCTGAAAAATATATACATATACATTCATACAACCCCTATCATGTAAGGAAACCAATCGTGTGTAATTAAAAATTATCAACCGACCAAATACAATTTACTTAGATAACTGAAATACATTTTTATCTTAATTTACAAAAACAGGACTTCGATAAAATAACTGACTATCATTTTGTTCCAGACATGATAACTCCAAAAAGCAAAAAGAAATACTATTATCTTATCATCTATGGACTGAAAGTTAATCGCAATACCTATTCGTGTGCGTGTACACACAGAAATATTTGTATCTTAATCTATTTGTAGATTTATTTCGAAAAATATGTTTATTTGGAAGAAGATACCGATATATATCTTGCAAAGAACATAGGAGGCAAGTTGGAATTCCACAAAGATAAACTACCCGGTAGAAGAGGCATGGATGCCGCAAGGTCATTTTATCTATTTAAGCAAATCTCGTACTTCGTTTGACATAGAGGGAAAATGTATACCATGACACGAGTACGGTATCTTGTGTGATTTCGAAACATGTTTACACTGTATGTTGTTCTTCCGTGTGATCTGCCTTGCGTATGCACGAAAAGAGAGAGAAAGAGAGAGAAAGAGAGAGAGAGAGAGCGTGTAACTTCACGCATTCGCTCCTTCTGTATACATATTATATCGCATATACAGCTGTAAACATGTTTTATTTACTTTACGTCTTTTTTACTTAATTGTGTTGAACGCAACGAAAGCCAAATGTTATCCACGCACAGTATTATCCTTGGTAGGATGTGTTCTATCGAAATCATAACGTGAATATCGTAGCAATTATTTAGATACACAATAAAATTTTAAAAGAAACATGGAGTAGCGTATTGAATGTCGTAAAGTATTAAGCGTCGATGCTTGAGAATGATTGACCCGTTCTCGAGAGAATCGGGGCCGAATTTTTTCTTTCTGCACCATATAAAAAATATACTTATTTTGGTACTAATATCTTGTCATGAAATTATTTTAATATAATAAAAATACCAAGATAAAAATAATGTTCGTTTGACTATAGTAAAAAAAGACATTATGATGGAATGATCTGGAGTAATATTTACTTCAGTATTTTATTATTAGAAATTAAAAACAATCTCCGACGATGTATTGATGCTTGTTCTTCTGTGTACTGATTATTACTCAGTGATTTCATCAATCTGACGTAAATTATGGTCTTGTAAAAACAGTTGGATAATATTTATGTGCCCGCTGCATACATATGTATATGCACAAGCTTATCTTCTTTCGCACGATTTAGCATTGCCTTCCGACAAAGGCAGACATTCCTTTGTTTGATTTAGATACAACAGTTTCATCCATCGATGCTGGTGAACAGAATCAAAGTATGAACATAATCTTTGTTTATTTTAAACTACTATTTATGAGTGTTACTTGTGTTGACTTTGACATATTCAACGTTATAATTGAAAATGATTCTATTACAAAATAAAATTAAGGAGATTAATATCGGAAATCAACATTTACGTTTATCTAGACTTTAACCATTGCGTTGATATGAGCTATCAGATAATATAGAAATCGGATAAGGAAAATACTTGCTCTTATACAATGCTTCTCTGTACATATAATATTTGTCATTGTACAGTGTATTGAATGTATACACTCGTATCCTATTACATCCTTATAGATAAAATGTAACAGACATACAATTTCAGAAAAACAATAGGAGATTGAAAGAAGATACTTTTATCAAATGTGAGAAGTAGTCTAAACTTTATCTTTTCAAAGAGCACGTGATCTCGCAACAATGTACGACTCTTAAAACATGTTACTGATATTGTATCATATGACATACATTATACGTGCCCAAACTAGTGTAGAGATAGCATATACTCGAATCATTCAAAAGAGGTTATTTTTAATTTTCGGCAATGAATTCGCGATTAATGAAAAAACTCAAGTTTTCTACTTTACGATGTAATTATTACATTAATACAAATAAATTTTAGGCTTACAAACCTAAGGATAGCATTTCAAAAGTACTTATATACAATCGAATCTAGTTTGGCCTAGATCTCGTACAGACTACTGTATAAATTAGTTTGTTTATGTATATTACAGAAAAAACAGAAAATGGTTACACCGATTTCGATGAAACTTCGTGGGACCCAGAAGTAATAGTAACAATTAATATAAACCGTTTTTCGAATTAATGTATGAGTTTTTATTATAGTAAATGGCAGATGATATGCATATCATAGAGTATGTAGGTCAAACTTTCACTACATCTGAATACATTTCTCAGTGTGTTGTTTCTCTCTTTAGTCAGGAAAAACATCCGTTGCGGGTGTCCGTGTGCAACGCATCTGGAGACACGTGTCTGACCTGTTTTCAAATGCGTGTCTTGAAACAAATATCGGGGAATTATGAAAACGTTTGCGTCATAGATTATGCAAGTGATTGTGAGATGCTGTTGCGTAGCAATCGTTAGAAATATTATTTCCGCTGCTTAAAAAGGATAATGATAGATTATGGAACAGCGGTACTTTTGCCGCGTAATTAAATACGACCAGTGGTCGGTTCTAGAAACATAAAGTAACTGTTTGATATTTAACATTTAATTACTACTTATCGAAAGTATCAAGTATTGCAAGATTCATATGTAGCTGTCCAGTTAAGAAAGAGTGATCGACGAAACGTTAAGTCTATCGAAACAAAGACGCTGATAAGATCCATATCGATTGATTCATGCTTTGTGCTTGGATCAGTGTTCAAAGTTAGATATAAAAGTAGTAAATATATTTTCTTCGTATTCCTCTACAAAAACAGAAATCAGGAAGGAATACAAGTTGCACGAGTATTGTGCAACTTCCTGATTTAGCCTTGAAACGTTCAAAGCACGTTTTGCTCCACGTTTTATCGATCGGACATTCGTTACATTTTATGGAGAACATGTTTACGTGATTTCATATTTGAAAAATTATTCTTGTATTCCCTTCTATGAAAAATAAATTTGTTTAAAAGAATCTACTTTAAATATTTAAATTTCGAAAATTCTATTTCATAAATAGAAATTGCACATTTCTGTAAAATTTGTAGTTTAAAAATATAAACAATGACTATAATAATTTATTGCTGTAATCATTGGACACTTCTCTTTCGCACAAACCCGATTAACTGCTTATCAGCATAAAAAAGTCATAATGTAGTGCGTAGTTGCTCATATTCATATGACTACTATGATTGTTTGCATTATGTATTTGTTACTATACACAAAGAAAAACATTTGATAACTGTTCTTGCTACTACTTCCAATTTACTGATTCTAAGCTTGACCTACTTACAAGATTTATCCAATAGATGACCAGCTTTACTACACATCTATGAATAATTTTGAAGCTTTTGAGAATAATCATAGCATAATGCTATGGCATTAAACTATGCTAAGATAAATCTTTTACGGCAAAGTAATCCTTAGGAAACAATTATATGATCATGTAACATGATACATTAATAATACTGTAAACTCGAATTGTATGAAAAATCTCTTAATATTTATTAAATTAATAAAATAAAGTTACTGATTACATTGTTTTCAATGCAACACAAAAATGGTACTAAAAGATTGAAAGGCCCATAATTCTGCTAGATTTAAAAAAATCACGTAATGACATCGTCAATGCTTAGAAAATATAACAAAACTGTGCTATATTTTAATGTATCAAAAATGATACGGTTTTCTATGTATAAATCATTTGCTGTATCTCATATGACAGTTAAACAGAGTACTCAAATTAAATGTTAATCTCGCATTAACTTTTCTTGTAATTTTCATAGAAAAATGGCCCAGTTTTATGACTAGCACAATATCCTAACCCCTTAATAGCTACAATGAGATCATTGGTACACTGAAACAATTTGTTGAACACGCATACAATGGACACAGAGAAGGAAAGATGCATAGTATCACAAGTTATAAATCTAAGCATAACATTGAAAAAAACTAATTATTTAAGATATATGTATATCGGTAAGATATATAAACAAAGGAGTTCACTCACCGAGGGGTAAATCACAAAGAAGACAGCAAGCAGCGATAGCACCAGCCGATGCACCACTAATCTTATCCAAGAGCAAGTGTGGAGCATATTTCTTAAAGCACACTGCTACACCAACGTGGTAAATACCAAGGAAGCCACATCCAGCAAACGATAAATTCATTTCGAAATTCTCTTGTGCGTGGCTGTGAAGTTTACCGTTCCTTTGTTTATGTAGATTGGGAAGGAATAATTGCTACTATACAAATTTACGAGAAGAAGAAAAATACCGATCCCTTTCCTATAGCACTATAAACACATTACTCGCTGAGGAAAGCGCTCGCGACGAAGTATTTGCTGCAACGTCCGAGGTCGAACTATCGGTAGTCCTTCGCGGACAACAACAGTCTTTCCAAACTCTCAAGACTAATCTCAAGTTCGATTGAAAAAAATACATGTTACAAACAGCTATGTAGCAAGATACACGCAACGTTTGATGACGTGCATTTGTAAATACATTTACTGAATTGTCGATTGGTTCACGGTGATTGTATGTAGTGATCGCTCCGCCCATTCCAGGGTTCTTAAACTCATTCATTGTGCAATACAGCATCAACTGCACGTGGATTTTTCTAATACATAAAATGATCGAACAGTTACTTACCTACGCTTCTACTTCAATACATCGTATGGATTATTCGATACAATTCAATGTAAGTTTAAAAAGATTTATAATAATAAATGTAATCGCGTGTAAATGTAAAGATTGTACGTCGCTCGCATTTTCTCAAACAATTTTGAATTGACGCTCAATTTAATCGCGAGAGTTGCTTTTGTGAACTTTAAATAATATCCTGAATAAATATATTTGAATACTTAAATTGGATCAATTGCATCTTTAAAAATTAAAATAAGAAAATAATAATAAAATACTTCATTTAATGTAAAACACTTGACTTTGAATTAAATTCGCGCCAGTTCATTCTATATAATTTTAGATAGCCAATAAGAATTCAGATTTCAACTAAATTGCTGCATTTATAACAAACAGCATTTTTTATCTAGGTAGCATAGTTTAAGCTCCTAGTGACTGATAATTTTTAATAAAATCTTAATTTCGGTAAAATTCTTTTCTTCATATAATTTTTTCATTCAATACACATTCTTTGCATATACATACTGCATGTACATCATGTTCATTCGTAGAATTCCATTCGAAACATCAAAGTGTAAATAACACGTAAACATCTTGAGGAAACAGTTAAAATTATTGGTTGATAGTCCGGAACCTGTTTAGGATTGGTTGTTTTTATAAATGACAGTTACAGTGTGATAGTCAGCTTTTAATGCATACATAACTCGTATTTTGTAACAAAGTTGTTTACATTGTGGGTTGTTGTTTTGGCAAGTATGGTCCAGCATAGTCTTTGCAGCGTGTAGAATTTATGAGTTTGTAATTTTAAGAGTTACGTCTAACTTTAAATAGATTTTATATTTCATACTATTTTCACTTTTTAAAAACACATTTAAGGAATGATAAATTTTATTTAATTTTGTAAACAATAGTTTGTGAAATCACTTAAAAGTGGGCGATGGTAGATACGTCGTAAAGTACCTAGAATACTCGTTTGGATAAACGATGTTTCTAATGTAAAAAAGTACGAACAGCGTACATATAATTCTATAAAATATGCAAGATACATAGTCTATAGAAAGTTTTAAGTATCAGGATGAATTCGTGTAGTTTTGCAATACATAATCTGATACATAACCAATAAATGTCTCGACAAGGCAAACTACAATTTTGAACAGGAAGAAATTACAATGATTGAAAACGATCAAATGATACAAGCAATGAATATGACTTGTGACAATACTAATTTATCAAACGAAATAGTTTTTCATGCTGTTTATATACCCGAAGAAAATGTAGCCACAGAAAGTAATGTGAAAGGTAAACATGCAATACATTCAGACGTTTAAATTTCCAAAACTTTTATATTATGCATTTGCGTGTTATAGAAAATATCCGGGTTTATATGGATAAAGCAGAAGCATTGAAGGTAATTAAAGAGTTCAAAACTGGACGTCTGAAATCATTCAAAAAACGTTCAGAAGCTGAAGAATATGCAAAGACAGGTTTTGAGAAAATATTATGTAATAACAATAGTACAGCAGCTGGAATGGTTGCAGTGGAAGAGAAGTCAAGTAACTTCAAAGCTCCACGGTCGCAGGACTTGGTGTGCTTCAGGAAATTAATTAGAGATGGAAATTTGTGTGCTGTAAAAACTACTTCATGGGGAAATCCACGGTATTTAATTGGTATTGGTGACACACCTGCAATTTTACAAGTAATATATCATGTTTATTATTAATTCCAAATATTTAATGTTTATAATTGACTGTGAAATATATTCTTTAATTTCTTGTAGGAAGGGTGTCGCTACAATGCATTGCACATTGCAGTCAGAGCAGACAAACCAGATATCTGTGAGTTAATATTAAACACTGTTGGAAATGCAGAATTTATAAAGTTACTTTACGGAGATGAGTGCAAGAGCTATCTGGATCGAGCACAGATTATGTTAGATTTATATTTAAATACACCAGATAAAGGACTGAATGAAACACCATTACACTTTGCAGTTAAATTTGGTTTCAAAAATGTAGTCAAAGTTCTTGTTTCATATCCATGTTGTGTAAAAACATTACCAAACAAGTATAAACAACTACCAATAGATGTACGTGATAAAATATTAAAAAATTTGAATCAGAGAATACATACAATAAAATTCAGTATCTTTTGATAATTGCATTTTTAGTATTCTCTTTATGTTTTTGCAGTAGTCTTTATTAGCTCCGTACAAAAGTATTTTTTAACTCATCTATTATTGGTCAATATTACAGATAATATGTAGCAGAACATGTCAAGGAGATGAAGAATTGAAGAAAGAGATACGTTTATTACTGGAAGATCAGTATTATGTACCTGTATTAAGATCAGATGATAACACATTACAGCCTGTTATAGGAGAACCATTCTCTCCAACTAGTCCTATGGTATGAAAAGACATTGAATTTGTACTGTGTAAAATTTTTAAACAATATTTTTTATAGAGTATAAAGTTGGATCCATTAAGTCCACGTTTAGAAGTACGTGCATTTGCTGGACCAATGACCAAATCTCGTGCATTGGAATTCAGGAAAGAATGGAAAACTCCTCCACGTCGTCGCATGACTCCAGTTAAAAAGATTTTTGAAGATGAACCTGACAGCCCCATTAACAACTTATCCTTGAGATTACAAGATCCAGAAAAGGGACTTGAACGAATTGGAAGGTATATGCCATTGTTATTTTTATACTAAGTGTTGTTTTTAAATGAAATAGATACTCAAATGTAGTATGTTATTTTTTAGAGATTTAGCAGAAGAATATCACGTGTCATGGAAAGAATTTTGGCCATTCTTGGATGACTTCGCAGATTTTCGTACCTCCGACGGTTTAGCGAAACTTGAAACATATTTAGAACACAAATTTTATGACCAGTTACTTCAGTACAATAAGGTATTAAAAACAGAATTATGTAGTTTCAAATATTTGTTTTCATGTCCTTTTAATTGTTTACAGAGGTTCTTCTTGCATTCTAGTAAAACGAATTCAAACCCAGGAAAGGAAGCGGAACCTACTGATGAATTAGATTATTTATACAATAAATTACAATCATGTTCGTTATTTAATGCAGAGAATGAAGATAGTATAGGTAAGTAATACAAATTGAAAATATTCTACTGTATTATAAGATAGAATTTAATGGACGAAATCGATTAATAATATTAACTTTTTTTAGACGAATTAGAGTTTTTTACACCACCATCATCGCCGAAATTAATAGTAGATAGATCAGACGATGAAATGTATATTGCAGAGGAAGGCCCTGCAACTTTTCTTGAAGGGTAAGGTGTACCAAAAGACATTGTACCTGTTGTTACACATATATATGATATTTTAATCTATATATTTCAGATCTGAACCAACAAAATTAGATTATGCTGTTTATTATGCAGTATTATCACCAATTAATTCTACTACATATCCTAATATTTATCGTTGGCAACAAGATATGCAGCTTGCTATGAAACGTGATTCACCCAGGTAATCACTTTTAATATATTAATATTTTCATCTTTCTTACAATAATATAATAAATATAATGTCATGGTATGATATAACATGTGGTAACAATGTAATGCATTATCTTTTTTCAGAACTAACAATACAAGGCTATCCAGAAGAAAATTAATCTTGTCTCCCTAGATATTAAATATCCAGGCGTTTAACGGTGTAAAAAAATAAAACTGTATAAACTTTTTTATATTACGCACAATGATTCCTATAAGTAATATTAGTGTATTTGAAAAACTTGTTTAAGCATACTAAAAATGATATTTTTTCAACAAATTTTATATGTGATTAAAATAGTTTATAAGAACTTCACACACTGTTTTATGAATTACCAATTACATGGAGTATATGCATGTAACGTGTCTGAAACTATTACATTTATTTTTTCGTTTTATTTTCAACAAATTAATAATTATATTACATATCCTTCAAATTTAATATTTATGGCAATATTTGCTATTAATAATCTTTATTCACAGTAATATTACATTCTTTTGCATGACATGATCAAATACGATCTTTGTTTCCAATGATATTGTAACCTGCGTACACTGTTCTTTCGTTTAATACGTTTGATATTCTGTATATCTATGCTTGAATCCGGTTCTTAATTCGATCAAAGAGTGACCGGGGTAGGTGGAGTTTGTTTTAATTGTAAGATGATTGAACGCATCCGGGAAACATCTTTAGAGGTGCGTGAAGATTTTGGATTAAAATCGCAAAGCTTTGCAATGCGTTCCCATTCCGTTCCTGGCTCCACTTCATCGGCTTCTGCAACGAATTGTTTCTCGGCGTTCCTATTGATAAAAGTAATATATTAAATATGATGCGTAGGCGTACAAAACTGATTCTATGCGATGATTATAAGTTCGTTCGTATTAATGTAATTGCAGTGTATGTAGTTAACATTTCTATTTTGGTTTTCTTTGTGTGTAGTGTATGTAATAATACAAAATCTAAGAATTTTTAAAATACTAACTTCTATGTAAAAACTTTATGGTAATGTTTCTCTCATATTATATGATTTTACTACAAAAATAATTCATATAAGAGAATTTAGGTTTCATACGAGGAAACATATAATTTTAGTAATAAAATATTTTTTTATATAATTACATATAAATTTTTTGAATATTTTGATACACAGCAGACGTATAATTGCATCAAGCGTAAAATGTTTCTATGAATCACGATTATAAAGCAGCTAGCTGGCTACATATGAAAATGTCACATGTTTCAGATAATCAATAGCATTTGGCGTTGTGAATTGTATAAGCAAAGCTATACAGTACACAGCATTGCAATGCAATTATACATGCAAAAAAAATATAGTGTAACTTACTTGGCTGATTCCCTAAGAAGCAGAATGAAAATAATATAATTGCATGTAGTATATTTCTTAAAATAATTCAATAAAGTATTTATAATCTTAGACCGAATAAAATACTTTTAATTGCGTCTACAAATGCGCGATTAAAAGTTATTCTATATTAGTAAAAAATATGTCGCGTAAATTGCATACAATGAAATTAAATTAAACAGCAACAGTAAATATTACCTGTTCGTGGTTTTTGTTTTACTAATAGTTTCTGCATGATGTTTATACCATTCTTCTAACTCTTTCCTTGCAGCCTCCCTCCATTCTTCTTTCTTTTTTTCTTCTTCTGCATCTAATTACAGGAAAATATAATTACATATAATTATACTGGGTAACAAATTTTCTTTTTATTTGCATTTCTTCATAAAGTTTAAGTATTGAGCATGAACCTGAATGTTGACTTTCTTCTATCACTTTTGCTGCACTAATTTAATCTGTCATTTAATTATTATTAATTATTATTAATTTAATTATTACCTTTTTCCTCTAATCTAGCCTTTTGTTCTTCTCTCCATTTCCGTATTTTTTCAGGCTCCTCTTTTACAGGTGGCGGCTTGGATGCAATTTCTAAAAAAATACCATGTTTTAATTTGTACTTGTAGTTTCCTAATTATTTTGTTACTATGTTAAAAGCATAATATAATAAAATTCACCCATAGTTGGTGGGGATTGTGTTTCATTAGGTTGTCCAACAGCATCTATTATTTCAAAGCTACCTTCAGCATCACCACCTGGGCCAACTTTTAAATTGCCAAAATTTTCAGGTAAAATATCTATTAGAAATTAAGTAATAAACACATAGTCATTATTCCATGCACTATAATAGATTTAGATGGTTTATATTATATAAACATTAAATTAATTATATATAACATGTATAAAAAATTTAATGATAGATATCTGAATTTAAGAGTCAGAAAATAGTAAGTCATACTTTCCAAATTTTTCAAAAAGAACAAAAGGAAATATATAAAATAACATTTCTTTTACAAAGGTGAATTAATATACTCTGATTCAGATATCTAAACATAAAAGTTTTAATCTAAACTACAATAATTCAACTAAAATATGTTATTTACCATTTGCATTTGATCCTGCTGAAGGAGTAGAGATAGAAACTGGTGGAATTTCATCTTCAAGTCCTGCTAATTGATCCTGTTCTCTTGCTACAAATTCTGCCACAGGATCCACTTCTCCTTCAATGACAAAGTTGTCACCAAATGCATCCATATCGACTAATAAGAAAAAATAAAATTTGTAAAAATATATAGATGAATACATCATATAAAAAGATAGATTTTAGAA